CAGGATGGTCTCGATCTCTTGACCTCGTGATCCACCTGCCTCGGCCTCCCAAAGTGCTGGGATTACAGGCTTGAGCCACCGCGCCCGGCCTGAAAATCTTAATTCTAATCTTCCCTCAAGCCAATCACTTTGATCAATTTCTTGTATACACTACTGAAGCTATTTATATAAACACTGGTGTGTGTATGTCAACATACGGTAACATACTATACAAACTCTTCTGCTTTTTCCAGTTAACAATATATCTTGAGATTGTTCCGTTTCAGAACGGTTTAACATTGGCTAGTGGGAATGTAACATGGTGCAGTTGCTGTGAAAAACAGTATAGCAATTCCTCAACTGGCTTTTTGTTTTCTGACATGAGATCTCATTCTTTCACCCTGGCTGCATTGCAGTGGCACAATGTCGGCTCACTGCAACCTCTGCCTCCAGGGCTCGAGCAATCTTCCCTTCGCAGCCTTCTGAATAGCTGGGATTACAGGTGTGCGCCACCACACTCAGCTAATTTTTAAATTTATTCTAGACATTAGGTCTCACTATAAAATGATCCTCAGCCTCCTAAAGTGCTGGCACTACAGGCATGAACTACCTACCATACCTGGCCTTTCAGACTGTTAAAACATAGACTTACCATAAGATCCAGCAGTTCCATTCTTCAGTACATACTAAGAGAAATGAAACATGTTCACATAAAAACTTGCACAAAAATGTTCACAGCAGCATTATTCATAATAGACAAAAAGTGAAATTACTCAAATGTCCACCAGCTGATGACTGGATAAAATGTGGTATAGCTATATAATGGAGTATTATTACCTGGGAATGTGAAAAAATGAAGTGCTGATACGTGTCACAATATGGACAGACCTTGAAAATATACTAAATGAAAGAAGTCACAAAGAATCATACATTCTGTGATTCCATTTATGTGAAATATCCAGAAAAGGCAAATCCACTGAGACAAAGTAAATTAGTGGTTGTCTAGGACTGGGGGCAGTGGGGAGACTGTATTGGGGGTATGGCGGCTAAGAGTGAGGGCTTTTCTTGGGGAGTAATGAAAGTGTTCTAAAATTGTGATGGATGCACAACTCTGAATATAGTAAAAATCATTGAATTATATACATTTATTTATTTTAAATGGAGTCTCACTCTGTTGCCCAGGCTGGAGTGTAGTTGTATGATCTCGGTTCACTGCAACCTCCGCCTCCTGAGTTCAAACGATTCTCCTGCCTTGGCCTACCGAGTAGCTGGAATTACAGGCATATGCCACCACACCTGGCTAATTTTTGTATTTTTAGTAGAGATGGGGTTTTGCCATGTTGGCCAGGCTGGTTTTGAACTCCTGACCTCAGGTGATCCACCCACGTTGGCCTCCGAAAGTGCTGAGGTTAACAGGTGTGAGCCCCACTGCACCCAGCCCTATTATACACTTTAAATAGGTGAATTGAATGACACATGAATTGTGTTTCAAGCTGTTAAACTATGTTAATGTGTTAACATATTTTTGCTTTCAGTTCTTTCTACAACTTCAACAGGCTGCACTGGAGGTGTTTGCAGAGAATAATACTCTGAGTAAATTGCAGCTGGGACAACTAGCCTCTATGGAGAGCTCTGTCTTTGATGACATGATTAACCTCTTAGAGCGTTTAAAGCATGATATGTTGACCCGTCAAGTAGACCACGTGTTTAGAGATGTTAAAGATGCTGCCAAATTGTATAAAAAGGAAAGGTATGTCCTCTGCCTGAGTCAGCTCAACACCAGTTTGGTAAAAGTTAAAGATGGTACATGTGGTCAGATTTCCAAGGTGTCTAGAAAGAACCTGATTTGGCCTTATGTACTTTAAACTTTATTGCTGGTAAAAATAGTTCTAAAATATGTTGTCTTGGACTTTTATTTTTGAGACTGTCCTATTCTGTCACCCAGGGTAGAGTGCAATTGTGCAGTCTCGGCTTATTGCAACCTCCACCTTCCAGGTTCAAGTAATCTTCCTACCTCAGCCTCCTAAGTAGCTGGGACTACAGGCATTCACCATGAGGCCTGGCTAATTTTTTTTTTTTTTTTTTTTTTTTTTT